GTAATCCTCACTGCGACGTCAGAATTTGGCGGAACATCAGCTATGCTTGTAGCTTTCATTATAGACAACATACTGGCAAAATTTGAGCGCTTCATATCAAATGAGAGCAAGATTAATTAGTGAGTTGCAAAACTTAGTTTCCAACCTAATATTTCGAGAGTAACTACGGAAAAAAGGGGTTCATAGCAAAAAAGTACCTGATTTTTGCTGTGATAGTGATCAGAGCATGTAACTGATTGCGATTGCTGCTGCAGATGATGAGAGTGCGCAAGATCTGTACAAAGAGAAGCTGTTTAGACCGTTTTATTTGATGCATGTTTACAGTCTGCTCCAATCGGAATCAGGCCGAACCGTCGGCGTAAATTTGCGCGCTCGCAGCGCTAGTGGTTTACGCTGCATATGCGCGCTGTCGGAGAGAGCAAAAGGATTGAAGAGAGAGCAGAGAAGAAGGTTGTCGGCATGACCGCGAAACCCTAGCGATGCGGATCTCGCCATGCCAATTTTGGCCTGGTTAGGATTGGGGCAGACTGTACCTTTCTCATAACTTCTGTCTACATGTATCATCTGCTTCGTCTGGTATGCACTTACGTGAAGAAATAAAGTGTATGGTGACATGAAGATGGTGACAATCACTTTTGGAAATCCTAAACAGGAGGTCACTGTCAATCTACACAAGTGAAACTTATGAAAGCAAGAGACATGATTAGAACAAGAGACATTCTTAAAATAGTATTAGTCATAGAAACCAGCTGCGGCTCAGTGATGACGACATGCTTCTGTCTGAGGTCTCATGCTCTCGCTTTTGCACACACACACAACACATACACAACACACACAATTCATGTAAACAACCTTAACAAAATGCTATTATAAGTAATGATAGAGATAAATCATACATGAGAATTGCGAAATTGAGCACAGTTGCACTTCGCACTCACGACTGCTTAGTCAAAGCACTGCCTTCAATGGCTTATAGCTTCGTCCACGAAAGTATTTCGCAGATTAGGAAAATTTGAAATCAGCGTGTTACGCTGCATCTGAATTTGTGCAGCTTGTTTTGATTGGCCGCTACGAAATTTGAGATTTAATGGTATAAGAAGTGGTCATGAAAGCTGGTTTCTCCCTGTAGAATGAAAAGCTAGAAGTTAGAAACACGGGTGGAAGTTTTGAAAAATTTAATATATACTTGAATAATAGTCAATCAATCATCCTTGACGTAATTTCGCTGAATTCAGAACTGCCACGATTTTACAGATATCTAGCCTCTAAAACCTGAAAAATATTAGAATGCCAGCCGTGGAATTGCAAAAAAGAGTACTCAGCAGTAACAGTTTATTTAGTCAAAACCACCAAAACTTAGCCACTTCTAGTAGCGCATGCATAGGATCCCCGGTTACGGTCATTGGAAATGCACTCATCTCTAACAACGCGCTTTCTGTTTTAGACCTAGGCCTTAGTTTTTCACCGGTGCAATCAATCGGCCCTAAGGTTGTACGCAAGATCGTGGGAAACCTTCAATACGTTCACAATCGCTTACGCTGTAGAGCAAGGTGCGAGGAACAGCAATACGACCAAATGCAAGCGAAAGGACTTTTCCAGTGCCGCCGTTTCCTAGTTTATTATAATACTTAACCAGTAGTCCAAGGTTATCAGTAAACATAACATCTACTCAACCAGTGTCCAAGGTTATCAATGCACTTGACCAAAAAATCACTGACTGACAGCCACTCATAGAAGATATAAATAAAACTGTTTAGCTCAACCCTATTAGCAGAACTTTCTTTACAACCTAATATCATCAACTGTAGAACAGAGATGTCCTAATTCTAGAAGGAGAAAAAGTTTTGATGGATATGTTGAACGACTTCTTGCTACGTTAATAACACTATTATTTAGAGTCTTCGTCCTGCAAATCTATGTATATCAACAGAAAAAATTTTTCTTAAGTCGACGATCCCAGATATGTATATGGCAAATCAATACTACCCTATGCCACTGAGCTATGTATTAAAATACAAAAACATTATCCATTGCAAGTCCGTGGGTGAAGATTTGCCGGTAAAGAAAGCGAAGGTCAAGAAAAAAAACCTCTTTAGCTTTTGTTGAATGGGTGTAGCTTGATTTTCCTCAGCTTGAAAGAACGTGAAAGCAAAGTGGAACAGATGTATGTCACACTGATCTACGCTTAATTTGTGCAAGAATAACCCGATTGATACGGTTAAGGCGTTTTACGAGTTGGAATGGCTTACGGCACGTTTGATATTCCTGCAAAAAGGCAATCACGCTGGGTTATCTCTGTCATACAAAGCTACAACAAAGAGTAGAGCTTTATACGAAGCAGATGTATTTGAAAATACAGTCTACTGGATACGTTGTTGAGATAAATGGGAGGAATAGCGAGTCTTGATGGCAAGTCTATGCTCTACATACTCATAAATGACTTGGTCAATTACATGTAAAATAGAGCAGACGACTACCTCAAAAATGGAGCTAAAATTTACGGTTTATCGCAAACGCCTAGCAATAGCGATAAGAGTGTTTGCGGAAGCTGAACGATAGATTAAGCAAACGTCGGATTTAGAAGCACTAGCTGAGGTTGTTTGTGAGGGAGGGCAGGGCAAGCGTTAGGCGACAAAATGTGCAAAACGCCATCAACGTAAAGCCCGTAAGTCAAAACCAAGTGCAATTTTTTTGATGGCGTCGAAGTAATGTATCGGCCCCGACCCCCACCCCCTGTTTTTGGCGGAGGAAACGTTTTGCACAAGGAGTTATTTGGGGTCCAAAAAATCGGGTTTGTCGCCTAACGCCCTACACCCGTTTGTGAGCAGCCGTACCCGAGAAAATGTAGGAGGAACAACTCAACTAAAGAGGGCTTTGAACGTTGGACAAGTAAATGGAGGCATGAAAAAGGAACAAATGACAGCTGCAGGGGGAGGAGACCAAAAACAAGCAACGTATTTTTGTATTTTTGTTACCTAGGTTAATTCGAACTCATAGAAAATGCGCACCGGTTTGCAATGTCGCCCAGAAAGAAATGTTGCTGGATTCTGCCTACAAGCCCCGTATATGTAAACCGAAACTTTCCAGCCTCTTGTGCATACGTTCACTAAGCAAGAGTTGTGTTTAAAAACTCTTAATTCAAATTGCTGCCATTGCAATATAGTATGCAACCCGGACGTACGTGACGTGACGCGCACTCTGGCTCAACTTTCCGCTGACCACGCACTTGTATGCACAATTCAAACGATTTCGAAACAATTGCTTGCGGGATTACGCAGAGGAGTGGTGCTATGCTGAGGGCCTTAAATCGAAGTAGGAGAAGAGAGGTAGCGTGTACGCAAAGCAAAAATCAATCAGCCTACAATGTTGAAGGCTGGAAATTGTGGCGTTGTATGAACTTGTCGTCGACACGGAATAGTAGGACCAGCAGCAGATGTACATAGCTGGTGTCATAAAGCCACGTCCCTGCAATACCCTCTTCCCCCCTTCTCAATAAGAACTTAACCAAGAAAATAGCAGCATGTTCGAAAAATTTTGTCCGTTGTAAAAGGCGACATTACAGCCTTTATTGGCAACAATGACACTTATCTTTTAGTGTCCTGTTCGTCCTTTTGTCATTCAACATTCTAAACCAAAATGGGAGCAGAAGGTATACAAGTCGAAGTCTTGATCAGTGACGCAGCATTTTTGTTTTGGTTCTCGCAAATGTGGCATAGATACCCTTTCCGTACTTTTGATTTTTTGTCCTCCCGGTGCAGCTATAAGCCGTTGGCTGCACAACATTCAGTGGAAGAGAAGATGTTAACTGTGAGAAAAGTTTTTATGATCATCGAGAATGTCGAAACATTTTTTGCAGAAAATCGTCGCTTGTATCTTCTAGATTGTTCGATCTCCCGACTTTGTAGAATTGAAAATAAGAATCAAACCCTTTCTCATGAATGCAACTCATTTAAGGTTATGTGCGCTTGATATGCTTCGAAGAAGAACGAGAGTTTACTGCATTTTTGTAGCCACTTGGATTTTGGTGCTTACCTATTGTGTGACTTTATTTTGTTTGGTGCATTATGTATCGAAGCATGATGATCTTGAACAACTATCAAGAGCGGTAAGCCTGCATAGATCCTTCTGAATGGTGAGAAGGAAGCTCCTCATGCGCTCATCTAGACGTCACAAGATTTCAAATTAACAGAAAGTATCACTCTAGCTATCAACGATTTTGAGTATGTTGGTCTATTAACGGTGCAAAAGCGCTTCGAATAAAAGTCAAACACAAGACAATGCTGTAACTGCGCAAGTGACGCTGTGATTGTCAGAGGAAATTGCACAGCTGATTTCGACTGCGCAGAGCTGCCATGACTTGTATGGTTTGTGGTGGCAAGCGTGCGAGAGATAAATTCTGTTTCCCGCACCATTTTTCTTTCAATTATTCATACAGTGTTGAAGAGTAAAACGTCATCTAGAAATTCTAGAAGCATTGGTAAGTTTAATTTGTTTCGGCAATCTATTCACTACTTTACCTATGTATAGTCCCCAGATCTACGTTAGCATAAAACCAATCAATTCGACACAAAAAGATGGTAATTCATAACAGCAAAGATTTATCTGTAGCCGTAATCTCTTATTTCCCCTCTATAACTAACTTGCAGTTTGACGTCTGTCATAAAAATCAATGAGTTTATGGAAATCGATGGGGAACTTCGTGTGTAGCACCCGCTTTCTCTGTTTTATGATGCGCATGTGCAAATTTCGGTTTTGCTAGAAACATACGTCAGAACATGCGAATATAATTTAGCAGGCAATAGCTTCTATGTACAGGATGTCATCTGACGACATCGAAGCTCAAAACAAAATTTGCTTGTAAAGCGAGAAACTCGACTATGTTGAGATAAAGAAGGTGGTGCAGTAGTGGCAACGCCCTGGCCAATAGTTCAAGACTTTAAGACAGTTCAAAAATGTGGTTTTATGAATATCAAATAGGTCAGGCTTGTTAAACAGAAAAGATGTTTAATTCTTATAAACAGAAGAGCTTTGCCGCCTTGGCTGCCGGAAAACGACGGCGTCAGGAACTGGACCGTAGAGGAAGGTTACACAAAACTCTTCACCATAACATCGTTTAACAATTTAGAGTAGTTCAGAACATGATTTCAAGTTCTTGCATTTCAATCCGACATTCTTTGCGACTGACGTGCTTGCAACATATCCTATCAAGCTCGAAGAACGGATGATATGCAATGCTGATGCGAAAGGTAAACTAGAAGTAGCACCAAATACATCAAGTTGAGAAAAGCAGCAGATACGTTTTTTGTATTCAGCACCACCGAAGCTAATTCTTTCTTGGAACACTGAATTTTCGCAGGAAAATCTGGGCGGATGTCCTGATTGGAACTGCAGATTGATCGATGACAAGGACAAGATCAAGGAAGCCGATGCGGTGTGACTTTACATCTTGTGTACGACGATTACTTCAAGCAAGTCCACGTTCAAGCCGCATCCACACTGCAGTTGCAGCGAAGTTCCAATCGCCGTGCTACTTCCGTGCCGGAAAGCGGCGATGAGCCTTGTATCCTCATGGGTTCCGGCACAGTTGTCGCGGTTAGCGATGCGCGTGCTTCTCAAAGTATGGAGGCCGGGAGCACCGGTTGATTCGCACATCCGATCGCGATTACGGTTGGCTTAGCCTCGCCGTTGACCTCTACCGGCTGGCGCGGAGCCAACAAAATGGCTGTATAAGGCGCCAACGCCTAATTTGTTCGCCTGTCCACTTTCGACTTCATCAATTACTTTTGTCTATCATTTTCATTTCATTCCATTTCATTTATACGCTCGAGGCGTTCCAAATCAAAAACATCAAAGTGTTATTCACATAAAAACACATCGTAACAAAAAATCAACACGTCATCCCAAGCCCAGTCTAGGCGATTATATTAGGTCATTCCGAAAGTAATTTCGCATTTTTTTGAACGGGCGCCACATCTGATGGAACAAAGGTTTCTAAGAGATCTTGGAGGCATTTGATGCAGATTTTCATTCTCTTTTCAATGGTTATGAAATTGTTGCAAAACGAAATTGTTGCAAAACAATCAATGAGCTTTCAGAAAATAACCAAAATCTGCGACCCATGCTTTTTGAGGTGGTCAAGTTTCACGATTTTTTTAAACCTTTCATATCAATCCTCAGAAGGAGTTCAACTAAAGATTCGATAGAGTAAATCTTACAGAATACAGTACTACTTTCTTCCTTTCTTATAGCTCGCTGTAATTTTTTAAAAGATTTTTTAACAGAACCATCGTATTTTGGCGGGCCCACCTCAACCACAATCGCATCAAACAACACAATTTTTCGGGATTTGAGACTCTAGATGGTACTATGAGCTAGCATTAATTTTACAAAGCAAGTGAGGGTTTACGGGTTCAAAATATCAGATTTCGAGCATATCGGGTGCAGCCTGGGACTGCTAAAAAAATGAGTTACGATGATTTTATCCCTGGGAACTAAACGAATCGGAAATAAGAAACACCTATTAGAAAGAGGAGGAAAAGCTGCATCGAATGACACCCGAGCTGCTCAAGGTTTGATGTTCTACGAGGATTTAGCTGTCCAAGTATGGAAATCGGTAGCATCAGTTAAATTTCTGTTAAAAATGTGCAACAAGAAGAGCTATCAAGAAGAGAAAAAAGTTGCACTGTATTCTATGAGGTTTGCTCTATCAAACCGTCACTTGAACCTCTTCTGAGGATTGATATGAAAGTTTTAATAGATTGTGAAACTTGACTATCTCAGAAAGCATAGGTCGCAGATTTTGGTTATTTTCTGAAAGCTGATCGACTGTTTTGCAACAACTTCATAGCCATGAGAAAGAGAATGAAATTCTGTATCGAACGCCTCCAAGATCTCTTAGAAACCTTTGTTCCATCAGATGTGGCGCCGTTTAAAAAAAGCGAAATTACTTTCGGAATGACCTAATATAAAGAAATAGTATAGCGATAATGTAAGGAGCTTGCATGACATGTTTTGATGATGCACGTAATTTCGCGCTTGCATGGACTCTAAAGAGAAATACCCATGCCCCGCGTTTGCCAGCAAGGAACGATCTTTATATATTCATAAAAGCAAGCCGGAAGTTCGGCTGGTGGATATACTGGCAAGCACCGCCCAGCACGGCTTGCTGCAGACGGTTCTGAGATTTCAATATTGTATCATCGTGCCTTGAGCTCCCGCATTGAATGTGTTTTTGTTGTAAACCAAGCGGTAAAAACGGTTGCACTGGATTCTGGGAAAGTTCAAGCGCAGGACGCGCAAGATGAAGGACCTCTTTTGGAATTGTTGTTGCACTACTATCATCAGAAGCGGAGAGGACTGCACCGTTTCCTTTAGGTCTGGGCGACTGGCGACAGATCTGTTGAACGAGGCCTCGAGAAGTTCATGGTTTGAGATAAATCTAATAGGGCCATCGGTAGCATGGGGCGATGCGTGTGTTTATTTTTCTCGTGATTTTCTAGTGTAGGCTTTCTGTTATAAAGATAAATGTATTTAATCTACTCGGTCTATTTCTCTTCATCGGCGTTTGCGCGCTATTATCGTGTTGTTTTATACGGGTAGGGGTACTTCGGCAGCGGCCGATAGGGCGTCGCGTACCTTATCGGACGCGCAACATTAGGTAAGGGACAATAGAGACCAAGGGTATAGATGCGGCGAGCACTTGCGGAAAGTGCTGATCGGCGGTCATAGCGTTGCAATCATACTGTACGCAAGCAGCTTGCGAAACCTTACAAGATATGCCTGGTATACACACTTTCATACACTTTCCACATAACGCTCTTTTGAGAAATTCGCATCTTTATTTTCCCTCTTCCTCTATCCCTTTCCCGAAATAAGATTTGCCACTGTCATATACTCCATCTATAGAATTTCGATGGTAGGCCGGAAGGATAATGACGAGAAAGGGACCTTGCTTCCCTGCAGGTTGATTTACTGTCTTCGCTTTTCCGTCTGCGCAGCGCACGTATTTCTTATGGGCAACGAAACCCAAACCCTTTTCGAGAAGAACGACCTGCTTTGAGTATGCTAGGATACGGAGACTTTCGCGGCGCTGCGTTCAGTATGGTATCAACATAACTTCTCTTTCAGGTCCTATTTTCGAACGAAGGATCCAACATAAGGCGCAAATTCGATCAATATTTCATATACTACAGCCAGGTAGGTTTGACGTGTTCGACTACCACTTTCTGCCACTGCTACATGATCACCAGGAATCTCCAGTAAATAGCAAGGCCATTATGCCTTATGATGACTTTTACAATATGACACTGGGATTTCGACATGATTCACCAACATCATCACCTTACGGTTACACAGTCAAATTATCCAAAAGGCATCGACTCAGCAAAGCAAGTGTTTAATCAAACTTTCTGGCTTTTGACTGCGAGTACTATCAGTGGTTGATTACGGCTAAGGCAGCTTGTTGAGGTAGTCAGCATGACGCGAGTCAATAGGAAAAGCAAAGGAGCAGCTTGGTTTGTTTCAAACTGTATGACGAGTAGTAAAAGGGAGCTGTACGTCAATCAGCTAAAGGTAGGACTTTCTCAGATATCGTTCTCAAAGATTTTTGCACAAAACTTTGAACTGCCACATTTATAGGCCCGAGCCATTGTTGTTCATTGAATTGTCTGCGATAATTGCCCACATTATTGCCTTTCACAAAACAACATATGGCTTATTAGTTCTTCTGACCAAATTAGAATATCAGTGTGTTTTTCCCAGTTTCTGTAACACATCAGAGTATTTTTTTTCCAAAAACCATCTTTCAAGTTCAAACAAGCAACGAATCCCTGCCTTGTAAAAGTGAAAACCGACGAGTAAAAACGGTGGTTCTTGAACAAGATAGTGAGCCAATTGCTAACGAAGGTACCAGCACATCTATCAAACTCACGTGGATTTATCGAACAACTGCAGAACGCCAAGTTTGGTCCGAGCAGTGTGATCGAGTCATTTGATGTGACTTCGCTTTACACGAATGTACAGAATGATCAAGCCTTGCAAGCGTTGTCGGAGATGTTAGATAGATATGCCAGTACCATAAATATGTTCGGACTTGGCAAAATGCGGACCATGACCCTTATAAGCGAATGTCTAAAATGTAACATCTTCAAGTGGGACCTACTGCCGCTATTGTACTGCCGACCTACTATTCCCAGATAAGAGGACTAGCTATGGGTCAGCGACTGGCACCAGTTCTTGCAGTTTGCTTTATGAGCAAGATCGAGGAACCGGTACTAGCTCGTATGCCGCTATACTGCCGCTACATCGACGATTGTTGCATAGTGACCTCCACACAGTCCGAAATGGACGAGTGTTTCGAACTTCTCAATCGTCAATCGCAGTACATAAAGCTCACTCGCGAAACACCACACGACGGATGGCTTCCATATCTCAACGCAGACTATCTAACGGCATTGCAAGTTTTAAGTGGTACCGCAAGGAAAGCTGCAAGAACATTCTTGTCAATGTAAAGTCTGCGCATCCTGCATCTATGAAAAGAGCTGTGATCAACAATATGTTCAAAACGGCGATGCAGATGTGTTCCGGAGAGCGTGAACAACGCGGGTCGCGAAAGTTAGCTTCCGATATTGCTTGCAGCAACGGTTATCATTTCCTTACCGCATACTCGACGTTCTGGAAATGTTAACAGCGTTCAAAGCAGTACTAAACTCCGACTTTGTCTTCCATTCATTTCTGACGGCGTAAGCGCAGCATTCCAAAAATGCATTCAATGAGCACAACTGCAAGATGACGTTGTTTTGGTGAATATTCCGAACAAGAATATTAAAACGCAGTTGGTTCGAAACAGGCTCTACGATCAATGTTGTACATCAGAGCAATGCATAGTATGCCCGTATGGTAGATAGGAGACTGCGCAAAAGTGGGGGTGGTGTACTAGCTTGAATGTCTTAGCTGCAAAGCATTATATATCGGAGAAACTGGAAGATCACTTGGCATTCGCATGAAGGAACACTTAGCAGATAAAAGGCGCCAAAGCTTGGTTTCACCGCTAAGAAAGCACAGAAGCGAGGTGCATAAAGGGGACAATTTTGACATCAAATGTAAGATACTTTCTTACGAAGGGTAGATTTCAGCTAGGAGAGCGATGGAAGCATTCTGGATATCTGCAAAGAATCCAAAAATGAATAATAAGAACGAGTGCCTGTCAATCACTGCTGATTTCCTTCCTTTCATATCGCTATGCCAACTATGGGTTGAGCCAGACTTCGCGGGGAAGGCGTACGCTCGGTATATTTCATCATAGGAGCATACGCGGCGTACGCTGCGTACGTCGCGTACGCCGCGCAGTCTGGCCCAACCCTATAGATCACATTGCATGTGTATCTATAGGATGACTCATTCGTCCGCCGCGACCATTCACTGCCGGTGCGGACTTCCACGCATATTGGTGGTCATCCGGTACGTCATCTTCGCTCTGCACAATTTCTGCTAACGAAACTAAGGGAAAGCCGAAAACTAGCTCGTTTGGAGGCGATGTTTGGTGGTGTTGAGTTACGGGTGACACCTTGAACCATATTCAGGCCTCTAAGGAAGACGAAGGCGTCGAAACGTTGGGCCGGATTGGAATAAAGACCACCTACCAAACCTGTATGGCACAGAAGTAGTTACAAGATAAAAACGGACCGCCATTCAGCACTAATTTCATGTTATATAATTGAAATCACGAGATGATTTGAAAATTTAAAATTTGGTCACTTTGAAAAATAGATGAAGAATGTTGTAAGAAAGGGCCAGAAATCTTGGTGGTGAAGCCGCAGGAGAGCGAACAATGGCTCAATCGTCAATGTTATTGAGTTTTTTCATCGATTTATTATTATGCTTCCAACAACAATATTTCAAACAAAAATTTGTTTGAGATGTTGATGACGTGATTGCAAAATGTTAGGCTGGTTAACTTAAACCTCTAAAACCACTCTTCTAATGGTATCACAAAATTGGTCGTGCACAAGTAATCAGATATTAGCTTTCCGAATACTACTTTAGGTAGAAAAGCGTCTTCCAAGCACTTTTCTAATATAGTGCTTAGAAGGCATTCTCATACATACTTATACTTGCAAACAAAAAACAAGCAAAACCAGAAAATTTGAATAGTCCAGTCAGCTGCAGTTATCAATTAGAATATGCTCAGTCAAAACAGAGATGTTTTGCATGGGCTTCAGTTCTGGTTTAGCACAAGGCGCTTTTATTAGCTTACAAAGAGCGGTTTAGTCATTCTAGCAAGGAGCCAGTGCCACAATTCAACCCAAAAACCTACTTTTCAATCAAACTTGCTTCACTTTGTAGAAATATTTTCCTATCGATATATACGGTGATTGTGGTGAACTGAAATGCCCACCAAGAGGAAAATGCATAAATGACTTAAATGAGGAGTGAGTTTCAGGATAATCAGCAAAACCTCTCACTTTATGAGATTTCTTAGGTACCACTTCTATATCGCTTTTGAGAATTCAATTTGCAAGGACTATGTCACAGAGAAACTATGGAATCAGGGTTATCAATATGATATTGTGCCTATCGTGCTTAAGGTGAAACAGATTGTTTCGTAAACATTCTCGACATCACTGCTATTCAGAGAACACTTGTAGAGAAACTTGCGCCTCCAAACTCATTCATCGCTGCCGATGATTTTGAAACTACAAAAGATCTTGCTGATCACCTGCATTATCTCATGAGGAACAAAACTGCCTACGCGTAAGCTTTACGCAGTTTCATAAGATCTTGAGCGAAGCTCGAAATATATTTATATCTCAGATAAGCGTGATATAGTTTCACATAGAAATAGTTGATAATGTATCATAAAAATTTAGGGAATATTTCAACTGGCGACAAGACTACAAAGTAGTATTTCTTGATGGCGGTATCCATGACTCACTAGAAAGGCCATGGGGATTCTGCCAAGTGCGTTGATAGAATGCTAACATCAATTTCCAAACAACAAAAATTTAGATCTGTCGACTGTTATGGGAGAAAACTCGGCCAAAATTTTCAATACCATGTAAGCATCAAATTTATGTCTTTTATTAGGCACAAGAATGATGTTATTTTTTGGGTTATCAGAGCAAAAGTGAAATTCTTCGGAACTAGCACTTACAAAGTGTAACTTTATGGTTTCCCAGAGGTGTGCAGAACATATATGATGTGCGCGAGAGGACCCAGTATTGCAGGGGACAAAATGCCTTTTTCGTTAATTTATATTGTAAATTTCCAATCATGGAAAAACGTAGCTAGCATACAATGTGAATGCTTGTGTCTATCTATAAAAACGATTGACGTCTGCTTAGGATATTTTGCGGCTGTGATCCATTATTAGCTGTACTGAAATGTCTTTGTATTTTTGTTCATACTCCTCAGAGATCCGTCATTCCTCGCCGAGAAAAGCCCAAAAGCGCCCAGAAAAGCCCAAAACAGCCCAAAAAGCCCAAAAAACCGACAAGGCCCGAAAGAGCCGGGACCAAAAACGAACTTTTGGTAGAAATCTGGCCTTATTTTGGGATCGTTCAGACCGCGCACAAAGGCGCACAAAGGCGTGCGGCTTTTTTGGGCTTTTTCGGGCTTTTTTCGGCGAAGTATGACTGGTTCCTCACAGAAAACGATTCAGCAGACAGTCGATAGTCATCTTGCAGAGCTAGCTTTGCCCTATCAATTGATGCCCAATTCATTTTTTGGTGTTCACCTTGCCGTGGTAGCATGAAAAACACCATCATTTTCGTAATAGCTTAGCCTTTCCAAGCAACTAAATCCCCTTTTCTGTGCATAATTGTCTGCGGTTCAGAATCCTGGACTTCTTAGAGAAACTTGATTACAGCAACTATAACGGTCGTGAAAAAAAGTTGGTAAGTGTCGTTACAGATTTCGAGGAATACTGGGATAGGACTTGCGAGAAAGATGGGGAACTAATCGAAAAACTTCTAAAGAATGAGAGGAAGACTTTAAGAGGTGAGATTGATAAGCGAACATTCTTTAGCTTCAATTTACTGTCAATTGCATCAGAAGTGTCCTAGCTTCAAAAAAGCATTTGACATTTATCTTAACTGTTCCATGCGTGGATAAGATAGTGATTTTTAACGTCAGCGACGTTGTGTACTCCTAATCGTGTCATGACGATCAGAATGATACATAATGTTGCAGGGATTTGTTGAAACCTCGCGAAGATCTGCTACCAGGGCCAAATGCCCCGGGCTCTAATTTCTCATCTGCTCGTCTACGTGTCCGCTCGTTACCGCGCTAACTCGCTACTCCGAAGGTGGAGCACCGGGCAATTGGCTCTTGTACGCTTTTTCGCTGTTTTGAATCAATTTTCAGCAAACTGTGCATCATATTGAAGCTGTCGGTCTCTACTTTCTATTTTCAAGCTGACAATGTCGCAAAACTACTTTTGATTTAAACAAAAAATCCGGGAAAAACTGTGCTTTCGCAGATCTCTTTTTTCTTCAGGTTACTTATTTTCACGCAATTTTCCGTGCACTCAATAGAACTTGCTTCTTTCTATGATGTATACAACGTACCAGAGCTTACTCTTCGATTGTGGTATAATATTTGATGAAGAGCTTCAAAACTCGGTATTTGTTTATAGCTTTTTATGGTTACTGAGCAACCATTCTCATACTTGGGGGGGGGGGGGGTGCATGTAGAAGTGTGCGTCTGAGTAAAACGAAGTTCAACGTTCCAAGAAACACAAATAAGAGATAGGGGTAAATATTTAAGGGACGCAACAAAAACTAGATTGGCTTTGATGCGCATTAGGTAAAAACTTAGTAGAAACGAAAGCGTTGCGTTTTTATAGCTAATTGTATTTTTGTTTATCTTCTTCTCAATAATCACTACCTCCAAAACTTGGTTGTTTTTCTGAAACAATTTCTAAAACAATCACTAATAACAAATTAGCTTTCCCTCGTTCCCTCTTCCCCCCCCCCCCCCCCTTTCCCGTGTTATATATCGCCTGGTTCTGGGCCGAAAACGCCATTCGATTTACCGCCAAATGAAAGAACCCAACTTATTAATTTGTTTTCATCCGGTTTTTGAGAGTTTTTTTTTGCTTTTGCTATTTGTTTTGCATCTTTTTTCTTTCCTGAATCTCCTATAAACAACCCTCACTTTTGAGGCCCTAGTCCTAACCTGTGGAAGATATGACCGACGGTTACCAACGCAAATCGAAGAACGTGGTAAAGTTATCGTGATAAATCTTCTCAGGTGTTGATTTTCGCTGTGATTTGTTTTTCTGGTTTGGTTTGTCACTATAAAATTTCAGAGTTTCGAGGAAGAAATATCAATAATCACTAACCTAGAAACATGAAAATTATCCTAAGCTCATAAAATGAATCATGTAAGAGCTTACTTCAGTGAATAAAACGTGCCGATTCCAAATCCGATTTAGATTCTATTAGGGTGATCGGTAAAAAATGGGGCAGCTTGATTATTATCGAATTTTGAGACTTTTTGTTTCGATCAACAACAAGCAGTCTGTAAGCGTCATCTATATAAGCGACCTTCGCCTATTATTCTGGCAAAGCGTCAAAGATCCTCTCCCACAACACTACGCGTGGCGCCCTGAAGAACTCAAACAGGGTTTCTTGAACATCGCTCATTTGCGCTGCCATACCGTGAAGTTACAGAGCATTTGATAAACCATCCGGAAGAGCTCTTCATACTCTTTCAAACACTATATCAAACATACAGGATTTCTTTCTATTTCTGGGTAAAAAAAGCGAAATACCTGAAAAATCTTGATTTTTTGACGCAACAGAAACCAATAAATCAAGTTTCAATCTGTATTTTCCGAAGATAGATAAAATATAAGGTAAGTTGCATATGGATGGATAGAGCGTAAAAAGCTCTTTCAGATGGCATTTATAAAACATGCGTTCACCTGCAAAAAATTGAATAGCACGTTTCTTTGTTCTCAAAGCTGCTAATGGCCGTATCTCCTGAATTTGAAAGTTGCGGCCAGCAATCCATCGTGGGTCTGATGACTGTACCTTCACGCATTGCAGCAGTAGTACTTTGGATGATTTCGCATATTTCACTGCGCGGATACTGTCCGAAGTTTATAATTTGTCAAAGTGACTAACTTTGCATTTCAGCCACTATAAAAATTATTAGATAAGTAAATGACCTTACATAGGTATTTTTTGAAAGAAAATAATCTATTCTAACATCTATCAAAATTGAAAATTTTAATCACTTTTCTTTTTTGAGAAATCTACATTTATTCTCTAGGTGCCCCATTTTTTACCGATCACTCTAATACATTGCTTACACCTCAGCAAACGGATTTAGAGTGAGTCTTTGTAAAACTTCTGTTTGTGAAGGGTTGTATTACACAAATTATGAAAGATTTACACGAAAGTGGAGTGGAAGAGAAATTGACAGCGCCATAAGATGTAAAAATATGCTGGCTTCAAAAAAAAATTGTGGAAGTTTTGATTAACCTTTGATGCGATAATAATGAAAAAGGAAGTAAGTGCGACTAGTACTCTGCGTTGATACCACTGCTT